GGTGAGTAGTGGCCAGTGGCCCCTTGGGCCACTGTACGTATTCAGAAGAAGACAAAAAGGGAAAAACGAGAGAGCTTCAGGCATCTTCACCGCCACTGTACGTATTCGGAAGAAAACAATACGAAAAAATGAGAGANTCAGAAGAAGACAAAAAGGGAAAAACGAGAGAGCTTCAGGCATCTTCACCGCCACTGTACGTATTCGGAAGAAAACAATACGAAAAAATGAGAGAGCTACGGGCATCTTCATCCTAACCCATAACTGCCGACATGCAGACCTGAATGCCAAACTTCAGCACATATAGGGCCTCGCCACACCACTATCGAATTACGTTTTTTCGATAGTTTTGCATCGCCACACATCCTATCGAAAACTGAGGCTTCAAAATTCTTCGATAGGTGTCAGAAATTAGAATTCGATAGGCCCTATCGAACGTCCGCCTGCAATGGCCTTCTTTCGATAGCCTCCTTTCCACACTATTGAAAAAACGCCCACGTACGCACTAGCTGCCACAACCATCAAACTGACGAGGTTCAGTTTTTGTTTTTCCCTTTTCGATAGTCGAGCAGCAAATTTCCAGAGGGCAGCAACGTTTGTGGTCCGGAAAAACGTCAGATGCAATTCTGCAAACAATTCATAAGGAGAGGCGCCGTAGCCACACAGCACTATCGAAAGTGGACCTGGAATGGAGAACATTCGATACTCCACCTATTCGATAGTGCTGTTTGGCGACGGGGGGGGATTCTATCGAATTGTGGGCTATCGAAAATTTCTGACACTCGAAGAAAACAAATGCAATTCGATAGTGGTGTGGCGAGGCCCATATTGGTGGTCGGCCGGACTCACCAAACATTACGTGTGCCCTCTGCCAGACAGCGTGAGCACGACACTACTGGGCAATTATACCTTTCTTGCAAATTCGTCCACCTCGGCGTGTGATTTGCAGAAGGAAAGGGGAAGGCCAGTTATCATACCCCCCCCAAAAAGGAAAACCTAGAGCCTTAATGAGCCCTATTTTCCTAATCAGCAATTTTGAAATTTGTGGGGTTGCAGCCTGCACAATTCAGAATTTGGCAACCCTTGCCCAAAAATGTTTTTTTGGGCCAAGGGGCGCGGACAATTTCCGAACTCGCACGGTGAGTTTAACATTTTTTCCAGGGAGGGTGCCATAGGAAATTTCGGAACCCCAACTTTTTTTTTTTTTTTTTTTGACGGTCTTGACCTTAAATTTTCCGGTGCGCTGCGTGTGGTGCGCTGCGCGTGCGCAAATCCGCGTGCACCGAGGTGCGCTGCAACTATGCTCTTTATGTATCTGGCAAAACGGATTGTCTGGATACATTCCAAATATTGGGCTCCTCCAAATGCACCTGGTTGAGAAAGGCGTCCAAATGCATATAGAGTGTTGAGTAGTGGAGCGAGGCCCATAAGGTAGTAAAAATAACGGTGTGTCTGTGTGTCTTTCTTTTATAATTAAATTTGGACCCCTCTCTCGAGTTATGCATGTGTGCCTGTTTTTGCAATAATGACTGGTCATTCTATTCGGGGGTGAGGACGGTAGTGGGGGTCACTGGTTTTCCTGTTCGAGTATACATCCTTGCCAACATCCTTGCCAGCTTGACTATGATTAAAAATAAACGATGTTGCTTTCCAAAGATGCTAATTTTTTAATTCCCCCCCCCCCCCGCCCCCTTTTTTTTCTCTTT